TGTGTGCAGGAATCTTGAACAATTCTCAGTCGTTTGCCGAATATCAAAAGCGATTAAAGTTGGTCCAAGAAAATGCGACTTTCCTGCCCCCAGGTGAATCCGGCCTCGTCGAACACCTTCAAATACTAGCAACATGGAAGCGAGGGAAACCAAAGGATTCTCCTTCCAAATCATCGAAGAGATCAAAGGCCACTTCAGAATCGACTGCCAAAAATGACGATATTGACGACAACCATGATTTGCCAGTCATCTCGAATGAAAGGAATTATCCCTGGATACAAAGCAATGAAGACGAGCATGACGACAATGACGACATCAGTGTGGAATCCAATGCCACCACACCAAAAGACAATACTACGATCAAAAACAAAAAGCTGAAACAACCAATAAAGACCAGGAAGGTTTCGTCGTCGTTATCGCAACAACAATTGCTGTATTACAGTGTTTACCCGGACAATCCATTGGCCCATCTCTCTACTGAATTTCCAGCATCCAATTTTGCAGTGCTCTTGGATCGCATCAACCATTCGCAAGAGATATTACAAATGATACAAACGGGCAATATATCCAAGGAAACGATGATTGATAAAGCAAATAGTGATGAAACGAAGACGAAGAAGGACGTTATGACAGGGCGAGGTCGCAACGAGTCGAATGATGATGCAAGCAGAGTAGCACAGGAGAACAAGGGCACGATGAATGGCATTAACATACTTCGACAATTCTCCGGATTTCTCTTTTCTCAATCTTTGGTTCTCCAACATTTCCATCAAACTACCTCTCGGTCTCAGTCAATTCTGGATGCAATGCCCTTCTTGCAATGTTGGCAAGCAAGGCGCGAGATTTCTAGTTTCTTTCGACGGCCATCGTCAAACAACAACTCAAGCGAATACTATCCAACAACAAGTTTGGGTCCTTGGAAGTCTCAGTATGTCCAGACACATGTTACCCGCTGCAATCAATGGGCATCCTCTCTTTTGGACATGATACTCGGAGTCCTCGCGTGTCTGATCCTTTTCGCAGTCCATTACTTTAGCCCCAGTCCAGCTGGATTGTTTCACATTTCCGGGAAGGAATCCCTCTTTCAATTTTTACACAATGGAGTCGATTGGTTGGAAAGCTTTCCAGCAGGATTTAAACTCAATGTTAAGATTACCAGCAATCTGGGATATGAAATTCGCAACCTATTGGACTGGCATCAAGGATTACTACGTGCATCGCTTTGGAACGTTAATTTCAATCGAGATTGGCTCTTTCCATTACTTAGTGGGATCGGATTGTGCTTTGGATGGACCGGTCTATTTGCCGTACTTGTAGATTTGACGCGATTGGAAGTCTTGCACACAATGGTATTGGCCAAGATCTTTCGCAGCCTCTACCAAGCCGAACTGTATTTGCTATCGACTCTGTGGCGACTGTTTCGAGGCAAAAAGCGCAACCGATTGCGTCAAAGAACAGATTCAATGCAGTATGATTCGACCCAGCTGTTGGTTGGGACGATTGCTTTTTGCATTTGCATCTTTTTGTGGACCACAATTCTTGTATACTACACTTTTTTCATGCTGTGGAATTTGGCGTTGCAATTACCAATCATGGGACTTTGGATTCTGTACACGGTGGCAAGAGCGCTTCCATTGGCCAGCTTGTGGCTCCGAAGCACAAAGGCCAATTGGTTCACCGAAAATGTCTACATACAAGTGTTGCTTGAAGAGGATGAAAGTAATTTTACTATTGCTCGGTTCGTTGGCAGGAATCAATCACCTGG